ACAGATTGAGAAAATACAGAAATGTTTAACAAAGATTTAGAAGAACTAAAGAACAAAGAAACAGAGATGAACAGCACAATAACTGAAATGAAAAACACACTAGAAAGAATCAATAACAGAATAACTGAGGCAGAAGAACAAATAAGTGAGCTGGAAGACAGAATGGTGGAAATAACTGCCAAGGAACAGAATAAGGAAGAAAGAAAGAAAAGAATTGAAGACAATCTTAGAGACCTCTGGGACAACACTAAATGCACCAACGTTCAAATTATAGGAGTCTCAGAAGAAGAAGAGAAAAAGAAAGGGTCTGAGAAAATATTTGAAGAGATTACAGTGGAAAACTACCCTAACATGGGGAAGGAAATAGTCACCCAAGTCCAGGAAGCACAGCGAGTGCCATACGGGATAAACCCTAGGAGAAACACACCAAGACACATATTAGTCAAACCAACAAAAACTAAATTCAAAGAAAAAATATTAAAAGCAGCAAGGGAAAAGCAAAAAATAACATACAAAGGAATCCCCATAAGGTTATCAGCTAATATTTCAGCAGAAACTCTGCAGGGCAGAAGGGAGTGGCAGGATATACTTAAAGGGATGAAAGAGAAAAACCTACAACCAAGATTACTCTACCCAGCAAGGATTTCATTCAGATTCAACGGCAAAAGCTAACAGAATTCAGCACCACCAAACCAGCTTTACAGCAAACGCTAAAGGAACTTCTCTAGGCAAGAAACACAAGAGAAGAAAAAGACCCACAAAAACAAACCCAAAGCAATTAAGAAAATGGTAGTAGGAACACAGATATCGATAATAACCTTGAATGTAAATGGATTAAATGCTCCAACTAAAAGACACAGACTGGTTGAATGGATACCAAAGTAGACCATAAACATGCTGTCTACAAGAGACCCATTTCAGACCTAGGGACACATACAGACTGAAAGTGAAGGGATGGAAAAAGATATTCCATGTAAATGGAAATCAAAAGAAAGCTGGAGTAGCAATACTCGTATCAGATAAAATAGACTTTTAAATAAAGACTGTTACAAGAGATAAGGAAGGACACTACATAATGATAAAGGGATCAATCCAAGAAGAAGATATAACAATTATAAATATTTATACACCCAACATAGGAGCACCTCAATACATAAGGCAAACGCTAACAACCATAAAAGGGGAAATCGACGGTAACACAATAATAGTACGGGACTTTAACACCCCACTTACACCAGTGGACAGGTCATCCAAACAGAAGATAAATAAGGAAACACAAGCTTTAAATGACACAATAGACCAGATAGATTTAATTGATATTTATAGGACATTCCATCTGAAAGTGGCAGAATACACTTTCTTCTCAAGTGCACATGGAACATTCTCCAGGATAGTTCACATCTTGGGTCACAAATCAAGCCTCAGTAAATTTAAGAAGACTGAAATAGTATCAAGCATCTTTTCTGACCACAATGCTATGTGGCTGGAAATCAATTACAGGAAAAAAACTGCAAAAAATACAAATACATGGAGGCTAAACAGTACACTACTAAATAATCAAGAGATCACTGAAGAAATCAAGAAGAAATTAAAAAAAAAATAGAAACAAATGACAACAAAAACACCATAACCCAAAATCTATGGGATGCAGCAAAAGAAGTTCTAAGAGGGAAGTTTATAGCAATTCAATCTCACCTCAAGAAACAAAAGTCTCAAAACAATCTAACCTTACACGTAAAACAACTAGAGAAAGAAGAACAAAGAAAACCCAAAGTCAGTAGAAGGAAAGAAATCATAAAGATCAGAGCAGAAATAAATGAAATAGAAATGAAGAAAACAATAGCAAAGATAAATAAAACTAAAAGTTGGTTCTTCGAGAAGATAAACAAAATTGATAAACATTTAGCCAGACTCATCAAGAAAAAAAGAGGACACAAATCAGTAAAATTAGAAATGAAAAAGGAGAAATCACTTCTGACACCGCAGAAATACAAAGGATTATAAGAGACTACTACAAACAACTATATGCCAATAAAATGGACAAGCACAAAGAAATGGACAAATTCTTGGAAAGGTACAATTTTCCAAGAGTGAACCAGGAAGAATTAGAAAATATAAACAGACCTATCACAAGTAATGAAATTGAAACTGTAATTAAAAATCTTCCAACAAACAGAAGTCCAGGACCAGGTGGCTTCACAGGCAAATTCTATCAGACATTTAGAGAAGAGCTAACACCAATCCTTCTCAAAATCTTCCAAAAAATTGCAGAGGGAGGAACACTCCCAAATTTGTTCTGCAAAGCCACCATCACCCTGATACCAAAACCAGACAAAGATATCACAAAAAAAATAAAATAGACCAGTATCACTAATGAACATAGATGCAAAAATCCTCAACAAAATAGTAGCAAACAGAATCCAACAACACATTAAAAGGATCATACATAATGATCAAGTGGGATTTATCCCAGGAACGCAAGGATTCTTCAATATATGCAAAATCAATCAATGTGATACACCAAATTAACAAATTAAGGAATAAAGACCATATGATCATCTCAATAGATGCAGAAAAAGTTTTTGACAAAATTCAACACCCATTTATGATAAAAACCCTCCAGAAAATGGGCACAGAGGGAACCTACCTCAACGTAATAAAGGCCATATAGGAGAAACCCACAGCAAACATCATTCTCAATGGTGAAAAACTGAAAGCATTTCCACTAAGACCGGGAATATGACAAGGATGACCACTCTCGCCACTCTTACTCAACACAGTTTTGGAATTTCTAGCCACAGCAATCAGAGAAGAAAAAGAAATAAAACGAACACAAATTGGAAAAAAAGAAGTAAAACTGTCACTGTTTGCAGATGACATGATAGTATACATAGAAAATCCTAAAGATGCCACCAGAAAACTACTAGAACTAATCAATGAATTTGGTAAGGTTGCAGGATACAAAATTAATGCACAGAAATCTCTGGCATTCCTATACACCAACAACAAAAAATCAGAAAGAGAAATCAAGGAAACAATCCCATTTACATTGCAACAAAAAGAATAAAATACCTAGGAATAAACCTACTACCTAAGGAGGCAAAAGACTTGTACTTAGAAAACTATAAAACATTGATGACAGAAATCAAAGATGACATAAACAGATGGAGAAATATACCATGTTCTTGGATTGGAAGAATCATTATTGCAAAAATGACTATACTACCCAAAGCAATCTACGGATTTAATGCAATCCCTATCAAACTACCAATGGCATTCTTCACAGAAATAGAACAAAAATTTTACAATTCGTATGGAAACGCAAAAGACCCTGAATAGCCAAAGCAATCTTGAGAAAGAAAAAAGGAGATGGAGGTATCAGGCTACCCAACTTCAAACCATACTACAAAGCTACAGTAATCAAGACAGTATGGTACTGGCACAAAAACAGAAATATAGATCAATGGTACAGGATAGAAAGCCCAGAGATAACCCACGCACCTATGGTCACCTAAACTATGACAAGGGAGGCAAGAACATACAATGAAGAAAAGACAGCCTCTTCAATAAGTGGTGCTGGGAAAACTGGACAGCTACATGTAAAAGAATGAAATTAGAACATTCCCTAACACTATACACAAAAATAAACTCCAAATGGATTAAAGACCTAAATGTAAGACCAGATACTATAAAACTCTCAGAGGAAAACACAGGAAACACACTCTTTGACAGAAACCACAGCAGGATCTTTTTTGACCCACCTCCTAGAGTAATGAAAATAAAAACAAAAATAAACAAATGGGACCTAATTAAACTTAAAAGCTTATGCACAGCAAAGGAAACCATAAACAAGATGGTAAGACAACCCTCAGAATGGGAGAAAATATTTGCAAAGGAAACAATGGACAAAGGATTAATCTCCAAAATATATAAATAGCTCATGCAGCTCAATATCAAAAAAACCAACAACCCAATTAAAAAATGGGTGGAAGACCTAAATGGATACTTCACCAAAGAAGACATACAGATGGCCAAGAGGCACATGAAAATATGCTCAACATCACTAATTACTAGAGAAACGCAAATCAATACTACAATGAGGTATCACCTCACACCAGTCAGAATGACCAACCTCAAAAAATCTACACACAATAAATGCTGGAGAAGGTGTGGAGAAAAGGGAACCCTCTTGCACTGTGGGTGGAAATGTTAATTGATACAGCCACTATGGAGAACAGTATGGAGGTTCCTTAAAAAACTGACAATAGAACTACCATATGACCCAGCAATCACACTACTGGGCATATACCCAGAGAAAACCATAATTCAAAAGGACACATGCACCCCAATATTCACTGCAGCACTATTTACAAGAGCCAGGACATGGAAACAATCTAGGTGTCCAATGAGAGATGAATGGATAAAGAAGATGTGGTACATATATTGAATGGAATATTACTCAGCCATAAAAAGGAACAAAATTGGGTTCTTTGTGACGTGGATGGACCGAGAGTCTGTCATACGGAGTGAAGTAAGCCAGAAAGAGAAAAACAAATATTGTGTATTAACGCATATATGTGGAATCTCGAAAAATGGTATAGATGAACCTATTTGTAGGGCAGGAATAGAGACGCAGATGTAGAGAATGGACATGTGGATATGGGGGGAAAGGGAGGGTGGGACGACTTTTGGGAGATTAGGTTTGACATAAATACACTTCCACGTGTAAAATAGATAGCTAGTGGGAACCTGCTGTATAGCACAGGGAGCTCAGCTTGGTTCTCTGTGATGACCTAGATGGTGGGAGAAGCAGGAGAGGGAGGTTCAAGAGGGAGGGATATAGGTATACATATAGCTGATTCACTTCATTGTACAGCAGAAACTAACACAACATTGTAAAGCAAATTTACTCCAATAAAAAAAAAATAATGGATTATAAAAAATAAAAACAGTCCTTTAAAAAAAAGAAAATACACAAAGTATCTAATAAATATACTTACGTTTGAAGGTTTAAGTTTATTAATGATTGTTGTTTTGCCACTGTTATCCAGCCCAAGGCACAAAACATGAACCTCCTTCTTCCTCAGGCCAAGCAAGCCTGAAAGTCTGTCTAGCAATCCCATAATGTGAGTCAAGTATTTACAAACCAGCTGCAAGTCAGGGGAAAAAAAAAAAAGATATATTACCCACAGGCACCTTAAGAATAGAAAATATGAGCATATGTATCCCAAATTTCAGAATTTAAAGACACAGTGATATTGTGAAAACCATGTCAATGTAGCTTTGCATTTAGTAAACAGAGTTTAAGCTGATTACCAGAAAGGAGTCTTAACTGAAATGCAGATTGGCGGATAATAACACCTGGCAACACACAATAATGCCCTTGAAGTAACTGGACATTTCTCATCGTAACATATACTACTTAAGAAGAAAATGTGGTTAAACTCACAATCATGTGGAGTCTGCCATTTGTGATACCTGAGAATATTTGCAGCCTTTTCTGGAAATCTGGAACAATGATGGGCAATGGCGTTCATGTGAGCCTGATGCTGAAGCTTAGAAAGTAGAAGGCAGACCAGAATAACAGAGAATAACTGAGATTTTGGCTACATCATTTGAGCCACTGGTCAAATCTTTTTCTAAAGCCAGCCCCCTTGTAGTTTGCAGTAATACAAAGTAATAAACATTGAATTCACCATTTTTGTTTCTTTGTTTGATTATATCCAGTTTAGGTTATGTCTTCTATCCAAAGAAACAAAAAATCCTAACTGATATATTTATCTTAATTTTTCCTTAGTCCTTACGTATATCTTTGTAAGTCACCACAAATCCATTTGGGAAGAAGGTTGTGTATAAAACACACACACAATTTGAACCTTAATAAACACCTGTTTCTTTGAAACTATAACTTACATGAACTATCCTGTTAAGTATCATTTTAAAAGAATTTTAACTAGTGTACTAGTAAAGAATATGAATGTAAATACCAATCTTACATTTTCATCTCATTTTCTCAAATACCATAAAAGTTTCTTTGTTAACTTGTCCCTGAAGTGTTCATTTGTTTATCAATTCTTTCTTTGGAAAAAAAAATCCTTCCAATGCAAACTTTCAAAAAAACTCCGTCAGTAATCCAAACACAAGCATTTTGAAGTCAGATAAAACTGCTGATGATGCGTTGCTGGCTATGTGATAACTTTATGGCTATTCATACCCTTCTAAGGTACTGTTAGATTTAGACTTCAGGTCTCCAAATGAAACTTTCCAAAGGTTCTTCCTTTGGGTCCATCACCACCCCCACCTCCCAAAACATTATTATGTGGTGGGAGAAGAGAGATACTACTTTTGCCAGCCCTCAACTGCTGCAGGGACTGCTACAGCAGTAACTACAATACACCTGTATTCCAAACATTTCCTATTACTCTCCAAACCACCATTTTTAAAGTTCTCTTAAAAAACAAAACAAAACAAAACAAAAAACCCTCTAAATATCAGTTTCATTTAATAGATTTATTCTCATCTCCATCTAAGGTTCCAGAAGCTTGTCATCTTACAGCTCCTTCAGTATTTTTTTTTATTCCACACCAAAAAGGCAAGACCATACCTTGAAGGATGAGGATTCAGCAACTTAAAAAATAAGAAGCTTCCAAGACAACTGCATCTGAAAGGTGGCTGCATCATTAGTTTTGCTTAGGCCCCTTCAGAGATCATTATGGACAGAAATTTCAAAACTGAATTCCAATGATGTGCAGAAAAGAGAAGGTAAAGCGCCCCACCCAAACATGGGGCCACAGTTGTCTTACCCAAGGGATGGGTTTGACTTCAGGTACTCCATTTGTGCCGCTTGAATCGACTTCTCTCCTTGTGTTGGAGATTCAAATCTCACTCAACCCATTCCTTTAAATCTCAGCTTAGGGATAGACATCTGTAGAATCTACTTTAAGTTAGCCTTCGGATATCATGAAACAATTCACACAGACCATTTTAATTCAAGGCAAATTTGCTATTACTCACTTTGTTATTAATTGTACTAAGCGTATTGATATAGGTTTATATCCTGTTTTCCAATTCCCATACAATTTTGAATAGATTTTAAAAAATATGACCACTTCTCATATCATCCCCCTCTGGGCATCTACAATAAAGCATTGATTGTCAAAAGCTTGATACGTGAATATTCGTTTTTTCATAGAACATCGGATTGTGATTTTCTGTCCCCTTTTTCATGGATTATCAAACACCTGATGCTTGTTATTGAAATACTGTGGGATATGCAATTTAAAAGAGAAGTGGCATGGACATATATACACTACCAAACGTAAAATAGATAGCTAGCATAGCACAGGGGGATCAGCCCCAGAGGGGTGGGATAGGGAGGGTGGGAGGGAGGGAGACGTAAGAGGGAAGAGAGATGGGAACATATGTATATGCATAACTGATTCACTTTGTTATAAAGCAGAAACTAACAACACTGTAAAGCAATTATACTCCAATAAAGATGTTAAAAAAATAATAAAATAAAAAAAGTCAGTTGTTCTAAGAGATATAATTACATTTATTGAAGTTGCTTTATAAACAACTATCATAGAGCTTTATATATGCTTCTATTTCTTAGTAATTATACATCTTTATAAATTTACTTTTTGCTTGCATGAAATAAGGAAACAAGATAACTTAAGTCACTGGACATTCATTAACCATGTCCTAAGTGCACAGGAGGAGATACAGTGAAAGTTTTCTGTAGCAACCTACTCCTATAGCCATGATTCTCGACCCTGGCTGCACACTGGAATCAGCTAGCTGGATTAGTATTTCTGAAGATGGAATCAGGGCATCTGTATTTTAAAAAGCTACACAGTGTTTCTGATGTACAGTCACTATTGAGAACTTCAGGATTTTAGGATAAAGTCTAAACTTCCATGCATAGCTTTTAAAGTTGTTCACAATCTGGCTCCAATCTACCTTTCCAGTTTCTTATTTTACTGTTTTCCTCTCTCTGCAAACCAGCCAATCAAATTCTCTTGGCTGTTATCTGAGGAACGGCTTTCTTTTCTTTTCTTTCTTTCTTTCTTTTGGCCCCTCCAGGCGTCACGAGGGAATCTTAGTTCCCCAGCAAGGGATTGAATCGGGCCCCCTGCAGTGGAAGCGAGGAGTCTTAACCACTGGACCACCAGGGAAGTCCCAGAATCTGCTTTCTAAAGTTTTTTTTTTAACTTGTTGCCAGAAAAGTCCTGAAGAATTAGGATGTTACCCATAGTTACGAGCTTGGAAGGTAGGCTACACAGAGAGAGTGGTCGAGCAAAGAAAACACCATGAATGGTACTTTGTAACTTTAAAAATGTTTCTAGAGTGAATTATAGCACACTCTCACTACCCCCAATAAATATTTTTATTCAGCTTTCAGTCTTTGATGATGAAATTTCAATTATACTTCCCACACAGCAAAGAGGCCCAAATCGGGTAGTGTTAAAACCATCCAATCAAACAAAAATTCACCCAAAGCAGTTCCATGAGTTTTCTGGGGTCCATAGCCCACTTCTTCTTTTCTAGTTCTCACACATTAGAAACCAGCACACGGAGTGAAAACCATGAGGAAGAGCAATTCTAAAATTGGTGGCGGAGGGGACTGGGGGGTGGCGCTGGGTACAAAAATTGGGGTTGGGGAGATACCTGGTCTTTGAGATTAGTCCTGCGGGCCCGGGAGCTGCTGAAGAACAGGAATGGACACACTCGCTCGTATCCCTCTCTGCAATGGGAATATGGTCCGGGCGTCCCTCAGCCTTCCTCTCTAGGCCTCCACAGGAAGGATTCCTGGGCCTGAGCAAAGCCGCCTCCGCAAGTTGGGTGAAGGGGTAGCCTCTGGCTCAGCCCAAGCATCAGTGGCGGGTCAGGCGCCGTGGTGCGTGGCGTTCCCCGGGCAACCGGAGGTTTTTCCGGTGCGGAGCCACGCCTCCTCAGGTCTCAGCGCGTCAGCCGCCGTGCTCCCGTTAAGGGACTGAAGAGCTCCCCAAATGCCAGAGGCATAGCGAGCAGTATTGAAGAAGTGTAAGCGAGGTTGAAGGGGTGAACTGCCGCCTCCCAGCGAGGAGCCGCGCTGTTCCCCGGTGGAGCATAATGGGAGTTGTAGGCTTGCGCACAGCCTGCTGGGAAGTGTTCGGCGTCCGCGTTGGCTTCGGGCCTTTCTCGCCGCACGGTCTCTCCGCCCTCTCGGGAAAGTCAGCTCAGAGGGAGCGGCGCATTTTGTGGCGCCCAGAGCGCTGAGGAGTCTGCGTCGACGTCGAGCATGGGCGCAGCGCGGTGGCGACAACTGCGGGACCCGACTATAGGCTCTAGGGCGAGAAGTACGCCAGAATTGCCTGGTTGCCCATCGCATCCACCCTTTAACAGGCTGTTAGGCCTCAGACCCCGGAGTCCTGGAGAAGCAAAACCGTTCGTGCGGGCAAGGAGAGGAGATAAACTCACAGGCATTATTCGGCAAAGGAAGTCTGCCTGAACCTGGTTTCTGAGGTGTCTGATCTCCTGAAGAGATTTCCACGAGGCATAATCCCCTGCGATTAGAGTACAGTCCCCAGAATCAAATCGGCAGGTGGTTAGGAATCTGTAGTCCCAATGCTTAAAGTTAGCCACCCTCTTAAATTGCTCTGGGGTATTATAGCAATAGTAAATGACTTATCTCCTTTGTTAGCCAGGAGTATGAGATTCTTTACCCCCTCCAGCTACCTAGTGTTATATTTACTACCCTACCTGTTCTTTGGCTTATCAATTTCGGCCTATTAAGTGGATTAGCAGGGTGAAAAAAGAGACTAGAAGGAATTATATAAAAGTAATAATGGGGGAAAGATTGTATTTGCATGATCATGGGATGCATTTTATTTTATTTTGCAAATTTTCAAATGCGGTTCTGTTATTTTTACAATGAAAAAAAAAATGTTCTGGGCTAGTGACTCTTGTTGAAAGATGAAAACTAACAAAACGCAAAAACAAAAAAACCTTATAGTTGCGTATCCAAAAGAACTTACTTACCAATGTCCTTGAAAAAATGGAGTATGGAAATATATTCCGCCTTATTGTGTAGCCTTAGGCCAGTTAACGCTGCTCTATTGTTCAGCTTCTTCACCTTCAAAAAGACACTAAATATCTCATCTGGTGGTTTTGAGGAATAAGTAGGTAACAGAGGTATGTGTATGTTTGGCACATAGTAGGTGTTCAATAAACAATTTCCTATCTTCCTTTGTCCTGCAATTTTTATTATATGGGTAAGATTTTTAAATGTGGTCCTTTAACTTCTGACACTGAATTTACAGTGAGGTATTAATTACTTTTCTGTGTGTCTGGGTATTGTGACTCACTTTGATAAAAGTTGGAAGCTAAGTACTTACAGCCGGATTTTGACTTTTTTTTTTTTTCCTTAGAGCTAAGTAGAAATCTTATGTTTCAGGAAACTTTAGTGTACAGACAATTTTTCCTGTTTGGAGTTGATATTTTCTGCCCCTAGGTTGAGTTCTGTTTTTGCTTCATACAAAACATTCGGTGAACACTGGAAATGAAATGGAGAGATTGGATATCCAACTTTTCAGTCAATTTAAGCAGATAACATAATTCTTTTTTAAAAATTTGCTAAGTGAATAGTTATCTTAAGGTACATAATTCTCTTACAAAAATTTAGCTAAGTAAATAGTTATCTTAGATAAGTGTAGTTGATATGTTGGCTTCTTATTATTAGAGATGAAATAGTGGTCATGAAACCCACAATCTACTCAATAATCTAGAAAATGTCAGTTTTGAAACTAACAATCTTTAAAAAAGTGAATACTTCATATGGTTGAATCTGCTGTTTTGGTGCTTTGCCAACCGAAACAGCTCTCAACAATACACTCAAGGCTCAGCATAAAAATTGGTTTCACTTGATTTAAGAAGTTAGTTTGGGTCTCCTTATTATGAGAATAAGAAGCTTTAAAAATGGTTCTTAATTGTATGAAGGCTTCTTAAGATACCTGTATAAGGAAAGGAAGTTTCAAGTACTTTATTACCAGTTTAAATTTCATACTGGCTTTTGGAACTGTGGTAAGAATTATAAAAGAGAGAAGAGTGAGATATGGTGAGTACAGTGCTATTCTGATTAATTCAGGATACTTTTACTATATTTTCTTACCAGAAACTTTTAAAAAATATAGAAAATCCATGATTGGTAATTTACTGGATGTTTTTGGAATAAATATTGATAGTCTAAAGCTGTTTGAACAGTTGTACATTATGTGTATCTGTCAGTCATCTGCAGTTTGTATACAGTATTACCTATGCAATGAACAATTTAATTCACTTGAATCTCACAAAATATTTTGCTGATATAAAATCACTATAAAAATATGTGCTAATTATTTACAGTGACTTATGTGAATTTATGTCTTGACCTTAATGCTATTATTGTGAAAAATTACAGCTATGATTTTGTCTCCAAAATTACTAATATATGTAAAAAGCATCTAGATTTAATAGAATAAAAGATAAATTATATTAAATATGATCAACACGACAATACAAAAAAGTCACAAATTCAACCACCAGAACTGTAACTTTTATTTGCTAATAGATATTTTAATAAACAGGCTTACTCCATCTGTAAGACCCTGATAATGCCTCTTAGGAAATCATAGAAAAATAAAATACAATAATTAGTAACTTGTACTTTGTACAAAAATCTTATGTTGCTCAGCAGGTAGTTTTGCTAAACACCATATTCTTTCAGCAAATAGATAGATGACATATGTAATGCAATTCACCGCAAACAATCCCTCATTGAGAGCTGAGCATTCTATAACACTATAACTTGTAAGCATGCCAGCATGTGAAAATATACATGGAACATCATAATATTACAGTAGATTTTATAAGATGAAAACAATACCACCTTCAAGTAAGTCTGGACTACTTCGTTGTCATAGTGAAGTAGATAATAGGTAGGATTGCAGTTCTGTTGTAAACACCCTCTTACTGTGTTTATCTTTCTACCATATTGTGATACAACCAGAAAAAAGAACATAGGCTGTGTAAGGAACCTGAGTGAAAGGCATATATTGAAGCTCTAAATAGTGATGTAATACTAAAGAGAAAAAATAATGCAGTGCTGCACTTCCTTCTCACAAACAGATCTTTTCCCGTTTTTGCAAGAGTAGATGGGTACAGTGCTAAATCCATAATTAATGATAAATAACTTTATGACAGGTTACAAAGAGATACATTTTAAAAATCATAGGAAGAAAAAATGTTTTCAGCTGCAGTTTATCATTAGTCAAATATTACTCTCTGAGGGACTGTCTCAACCTAGACAGTTGTTATCTAGGCATTTAATATAAATGTACTATTTAGTATTTAAATAAACTTTTTAGGATTTGTGCTACAAAGATTTTTATAACTTTTTTATTTTGAATACACTGCAACTGTCAAATCTACCATTTAATACTTGATATGGCCATTTAAATATTGAATTTAATCAAATGCATATTTATATGTACACATATATCTTTATATTTTTGGCTATGCTAAAACAGAAAAAAATGGAGAGCAATCTTATTCCATTATTCACAGTCTAATTTTACATCAAATCCAAAGAACAAATATGCACGTATAAATTCCAACACACTGAATTACATACAGCCTATCCAGAAATAAAGCTCCAAGCACAATGAAAAAGTCACATCCTTCCTATAGGATAGACAGGGCACAATGAAAAAAAAAAATATCGCCCTTGTGTTTCTCCTAAACGACAGATGTTTTTATATGAAAACAAAACAAAATAAAATATTGTTTTACCAAACGATTAGAGCCTGATTACCTTTATTTAGTTATTTATTTTAATTTCAGATGTGGGCTCAAACCATCTCAAAATAGTGTTTTGAGAAAATTGACAGCTTGAATATATAATACACATCTTTAAGCATTAACTAATTTTCATAAGCTTTGAATTAGAATGGCTACAAGATGTTTCTGTCTTTTACACTGTAGTAGACAAAAATAACAAAACATGGGAAGTATCTATGGCATTGAGAAGTCCTCACTTAATCTCTACATTATGGAAAGGGGACTCTGTTATCAGCATCCTTGGAAAAGCTCAGAATTCAGTTTCAGGTCTTCCAAATAAGATGTCTCAAAAATATTTAGTAAAATGGCTTTAATATATTTTATACAATAGGTCTTTTTCCTGTGGTGTATTACATACAAATTCCCATTGACTATGTTTATATATGCACATATATATGTTTATGTGTGTGTGTGTGTGTGTGTTCCCCCTTTCCAACTACTTACACATCTCTCCAGCCTATACCTGCTTCCCACTCCTTATACTGACTTTTCTTTCCTCTTGGTAAAGTAAGACTACTCACACAGTAACATCCTTACATTTCTACCATAAATCTACCAACCTATCTGCATATTACACACTCTGCCTTCCCTCCCATTGTAGTTCTGTCTCCTCCTGTCAAAAACTAACCTTCCAACTTAAGCTATGAATCCTAACCCTTCTACTTCTCAAAGCCTTTTCTAATTAAATTCTCTCTTGCATAATCAGTTTTCCCCTTTCTACCAGATCATTCTCATTCTTATATAAATATTCCCTAGCATCCTTTCTCTAAACACACACACACACACACACACACACACACACACACACACCTTTCTTGACCCCATATCTACTTCCAACTACTCAGCTACTGCCCTGTTCCTCTTGCTTTCTTATGGTAAAACTTCTTGAAAGAGTTGTGTATAGATACTGACTCCACCTTCTTTTCTAAAGTATCTTCTCAATCCACTTCAATCAGGCTTTGACTTCACTACTTCATAGAGACTGCCCTTGTCAAAATCGTCAGTAACTTCCATGTTGCCAAGCCCAATGGCCATTTCTTTACTTTAAACTTGGCTTCTTAAAGCATTTAATCCAGATGGCCAATTGGTTTTTTTGTTCTCTACGTTACCTTACACTCCTCAGGGTCCTCTGCTGGTTTCTAATTCTCCACCTAACTTCTACATTGACATGCCTTGGATCTCAATCAAGCCCTACTTCTCTATCTTACAGGCTTTTCCCAGGTGATTTAAAAACATTGAATACCATATATATATTGATGGCTTCTAAATCTTGATGTCTAGCCCTGATCGCTCCTTGGAACTCTTATATACAACTGTCTGCTCAATATCTCCATTTGAATATCTAACAGGTATCTCAGGCATTACATGGCTAAAACCAAACTCCTGATTTTTTTCCCTCCAAACCTGCTACTCCTGCACCACCACTGACTACATTTCTTATTTTTCAAATGTAGAATTTATCTTCAATTTTTCTCTCTTCATCCCTCAGGGCCAATCCATTAGCAAGCCCTGTCTTCAAACATACCCGACATCCATCCACTTCTCTCCATCTTCACTACTTCTTCTCTAACAAAAGCCACCTTGTTTTTTCTTTTTTGCTTAAACTACTGTAGCAGCCTCATAAATGTTCTTTGACCCCCATCTCATTTTTGCCTCTCTTTGGCTCATCAACTGTGTACCAAGCACACTGTTCTCTCTACCCTCAAAACACTCTAAAGTCTCACACATTAAACTATTCCTTCTGCCTGGAATTCCCCCAGATTTTCTCATGACTGGTTCCTTCATGCTTTTCATACATCGGCTTAAATATCACATCCTCAGAGAAGACTTCCTTTACCACTTAATATAAAGAAGCCACAGTCATGCTATGTAACAATATTAATTTAATTTTCAGCATAGCACTTATCAGTACTTCTTCATTGTGTGTCTTTACCACTAGAAGGTCAATTCCATGAGACAGGGGCTTTTGCTTGTCTTGGTCGCTTTGTGTCCTCTGTGTTGAGAATAAGACACTTGTACAAGATAATGTTTAGTAAGCATTAGTTAATGAATAAATGGACTTATGGATAAATATACATTTAAAGTAAATCAGTATATATGTATATATACTATTTTTAAAATTAGGAATTATACAGTTTTGGACTAGCAAACACACTTGATTTAATTGTGTTTGTTTATTATATCTGTTCCCCATAGTGTAAATAGCTTTAACTGGACAAATCATAATTTTTTTGTTGTTGCTATTCTTTATATTAAAATACAGACACCTAACTATTTCATTTAATGGTAGAGTGATCAAAGTTGTGAGGTGGGAAAGGGAATG